ATACATGTATTATAATTTGGTTAAAGTGATTTTGTGGTAACATTATCTAGGTAGTCAAGATGCCAGGCGGTATATTTGACTGTCACACACAATAGTTTGTTTTTATTGAGAAGCACTGGAATAATTCGATTCCCACTTCATTTACTTTTTTAGTATGATGTTATTTTATTTGTTTGAAGAACCTTCAAACATCATTCTGAAGTTTTTTTTTTCGATATTATAATTCTTATATGTAAGTAACAATCGAATCTCTTCATGCTTTCCCTCAAATATAATTCCACAAAGTTAGAAGGTAAGCTTTGAGAGAAGACAAACTTTTAATCATTTATTAAGACTCCCACTTGGAGTACCTAATCAAGCTTGTCTAAGCTCAAGTTTCCTTTTCAACCGTAAATTATATATATATGGTTAATTATTCCTATAAGGCAATGGCATTGAATTATTATTCGCCAACCCTTTCAAAATTTAATAATGGGATTTTTTAACTTTAATCTTTTAAGAATATTGAAATTTAAAATAAAACTAGTGTTAGATTACATATCGATTATAGTCCCTTGATGTGTTATTCATTTAAAATAATTAATTTACATTTTATTTAATGTCTCCCATTAAATATTTAAATTTATTATCATACAAATTTTAATTTATTTTTTGACAAAAAAAATAGTTTTCTTTTTAATTTTTTAATTTTATTTAATATTCTTCAAACTTGAAAGACTCAATTAATGTACCTAAATGTATGTATCGAAAAGTATTTGTGGAGTAAAAAATAATCAAGAAAAATATGGAGACAACACGTGGATTTTTGGGTAAAAAAACAAGATTACCTTGAGGCACACAGGAACTCCTACGCGCGAGCAACAGGCAATCACCACTCAATCAAGGTCAAAAGTGATCAAAATAGGTATTTAATCAAAACCTATTTCATCCATCCTCATCAAATCCTCCCCACAAGGTAACTCCAAAATTATTTCTTTCAAATTATATTAATTAGCTGATTAATTAATTTATTACTCAATTAATTTATTAATTAGCTAATTGACGGTAATTAACACCAAAAAATACCTCATATGGCCGGTCCTCATTCTCCTAATAGGGCCAGTCATACCCCTATAAATACCACTTCATTTTCTCCAAAAACCTAAGTTGAATTCCAAGCTTGTTGCAAGATTCTCTAAATTCTGTAAACATTTTCCCCTCAAAATTCTAACTTTGGCATCGGAGGTTCTTCGGCCAAAGCACCCCCCCATTCATCGTGGACGCGTGAGGCTCTTGGCCTTGACCTAAAGTGTTAATTGTTTTTGCAGGTGCATTTTTGTCCAAGAACAAGAAGGAAGAAATTTGCATCCACAGTATTGAACTAATGTATTTAAATGTTAGTACCGAAATGTATGTATTGAAATCTATGCACCGAAATGTATTATATTAAATTAATGTACCTAAATGTGTGTACCGAAATGTATGCACCGAAATGTTAGTACCGAAATGTATTATATTAAATTAATGTACCTAAATGTTTGTATCAAAATGTATATATTGAAATGTGTGTGCCTAAATGTATTATAATGAATTTAATGTACCTAAATGAAGAAGACAAAGTACATCAAAATATATTGTATAACAAAAATTAGTTTATCTAAATGTTTACAACAAAATATATTACGATAAATGAAATGAAAATTATAATTATAATGAAATAAAATTAATACATTAAAACTAGGAAGAAAAAGAGAAATAATTAAAAAATGCAAATGTAATTAATAAATGAGGTTATTAATGTATCAAAGGACTAAAATTATATTTTGATCTTACTTATGGTTTTAGTCTAAAAGTCATCTTTACCAATGATTAGAATGAAGTTTTCTATTTAATGATTATGTCCACATCTATTTGTTTGTGAATATTTATCCATAACATTAACCAGATTGTGTGTGTGTGTATATATATATATATATATTCATATACAAGGAGACATCTCTAGATGAATTTCTAACTAAATCGAAAGATACCTAGCAATATCACAATTACCTGCCCTCTGAGAGAAGCTTCATTTCATCAATTTTGTTTGCGCATGCTTCACCTGAGGCGAGTGGCTCCGTGGAATTTGACAAATTGTACGGAATCACACGCAAATCCTGGCATTAAAAGCCGCAAAAGCAAGTGTGCACTCCTCCTCCTTTCGATCTTGGTAATAAGAGTCGAGTTCAAGTGCTATAGAAAATTAGGATGGAGTAAGAGGAATATATATATCATAGAGTTGTACGTATGATCGATGAAAAGGTTTGTTATCCATTCAAGAGGGTTTTTTGTTAACATATATATTTTTATAAATTTTTCTGTAAGAACAATACACTTCTCGAAAAGTAGTTTGATAAAAGTGTTCACAGAAGCCAGAAGAAATAATAAATCAAATCCTAAGATTGTAACAATATTAATACATTAAAAGATGGGTCGCGTGATTTTAGAAGTCAAATCCTAGGTTTATAAAACAAATCATTCTTCAAACATACTTAATTAAACAACAGGTTGTGTGAACGGGAAAGTATTACAAAAAGTCTTCACTGCACATATATCAATTTCACATTGAACAAATAGTTTTGTCAGAGTATTTGAACAGTATAGACAAAGTTGTGAACACTGACGATAAGATTCTTAGTTAGGTTCTATCTTCCCCCTCCTAATATTCTTGTATTATTATTTACTTATGTGCGATTCAACCTTTATGTTCAAATGTTAGTGAGTATGGCATTAAATAATTCGATAAGAAGTGGATTCAAGCTTGAATCTTACATAAGTTAGTGGTTGTTCACGCTCTATTAATGCGAGTAGCTGCCAACCACTAATATATATGAAATTATTTAATGAGAAACGAACTAATCAACGGTGACAAACATCCAAACTCACATATGCACGTATACATATAGTTTTGTTACTTTCTAAAATTATCTCTTAAGATCCTAGCTTTATATTTTTTTTCTTTAATAATAATTATAACAATCTAGAGACAGCCTGTATCTTCATATTTACAAAATTCTAAATAAATAACAGAATAAACTCAATTCAAAACATAATTTAGTATGAATCAATGGTAAGCTAGACAAATCAATTCAAGCAATCATATATATAATCTAACACATCAACATAGGCAACAATAATCATCTAGTTATAATCAAATAAACTAAATTACTTATATATGCATATAGTTAAAAATGATTTCATGTTTAAAATTAGTTGATACCATTTTTCATGTTTAAAATTAGTTGATACCAACGTCAGCCTTTGCTTGAACTATTATTCAAAAGAAAAAAAAGTTAAACATAAGAAACCCATACATATACACATAACCTAATTACGTATGCAAATGTTCTTTAATTTCGTACATATATAGTAAACATAGAGAACAAAAAATAGGGAAATTTTATTTAAACCCATTAATCCTCTTTTCACACCCAACTTAGAAATTTTGTCCCACAAACTTACCATTTTACCCTCAAATACAAAATTTACAAACTTGAAAAAAATTACACAACAAGACTTGATTCTGGTCATCATTCCAGAAACTGTCGCCACCGACTTGCTCTTTATCTCATCGTTGTTCAATTATTCGTGCCTAATTCCATGGGGCTGGATTTTGGTCTGACTATTATCTCCTTAAACCTTAATAAACTAATTAAAAAAACCTAGCAAATTGTAGCTCAAAAGACCGGTGCAGTCTTGCAAGTCTTGAAATTAAGATGAAGTTCCATATGTGGACAAGTTAAAAAGCTATATATGCTTTCAAGGATGACAAAGCTCGTAGTCATTTGAAATTGGGTGAAGAGAGAATTGATGAGAAACCAAAATTTGAAAGAGAGAGTGGTTGATTTCAACATCACAGCCTATATATTTCTTCGATGAACCCAACCCAGCTCTGGCGACACATTCTCCTGATGTCGTTGAAGAGCACAACCTCCTCCACTGTATTTTTGTTGTTCTTCTCCACCCTTCGGCAATCCCTTTTCTGATTTCCGGCAACCCACACAGCAGCCAATTGTGGCTTTCAAGGCCATTTCGACCCAACCATTCGACAGTTGATAATATCTTTCTACACCCATCTTTTCTTTAGGGCATAATTGGAATATAAATTTTAACAAAAAATCAATGGGTGTAGAAATAAGTTTATTGGGTCCAAATAAAATTTCCCCAAAAAATAAACTCTTGCTTGCATCTCTATTTTAAATATTCTTTCACACGCTATAGGGTTGTCGATCGTTCATCTATATAGAATTCACATACATAATTACATAAACAATTGACCAACCGAAACATACAAGATCTAAGTGTACATGTCATTAACAATGAAAAGATGAGAAATCCAATCACAATAGTAGAATTACATATTAATTTTAGCAAAATAATTTTCATACATACTTATTTATTTGTGTATCTTAATTTTCTTTTAATTTACTTAATTAAAATACTATAAATAAACATAAGTCCCTTAATTTTTTTACGAGACAGGGTTCAAAAACAGCTTGGGCATAGACGACAATAAGAATAGCAGACCAATGAGAAATTTTCTGGTCAGAAAGCAGACCAATGAGGATTGAGAAAGCCAAACCTCAGTTCCCAGAAAGGAAGAGAGCGCCCTTTGGATTCCCAAACAAAACGTGTCAATCATCTATACGTCTCCGTCTCTCATCAATACGTCTCCCAGGGCCCTTGTGAGTGTCCGAGGATTCCCAGTTCCCCACGCTCTTCATGTATACGCGCCAACACTCTCTCTCTTCTTCTTAAACGTGCCCATTCACGCTGGTCAACAGACCTTTGTTTGACTCACCAGACAAAATGTTGGCCTCAAAAAGCGAGTATAGTGGTCCTTTTCTACTCTAGCGAGTGGGTAGCCCGGTCCAGCCATTAAACTACAAGGCTGTTTCCCTCCACAGCATAGCATATTTCCTCAAATAAACAGGGTTTCTACTTGTACAAAAAAGACTCTCCAGCTTTCCATGTAAAACATTTATAATTATATATATAGCCACATACATCTGAGGAAATTAAGGAAAGAGGGGAGCTGCTACTGTTTTCTCCATTACTTGTTTCTTCCATGTAAGCTCTCTACAGTTTATTATACACCTTGCTTTTTCGAGGAAAAAATCCAAAGGGAAAAAGACTTCTCTTTTGAGATAAATATGACCCTTTTTTTTTGGATTTTTTTGGTTCTTATTGACGATCTCCTTTTACTTTATATTACGGTTATTTCTGGCATACTTTGGTCTTATATGCTTTAGGTTTTGATTACCAATTTAGGCAAATTGGACAATTTTCTTGAACATGAGTAACTAATTTCTCTATGTATCTACCAATCTTAAAGAGAAGAAGGTATGGGGAGAGGAAAGATTGTGATTAGAAGGATTGACAATTCAACAAGCAGGCAAGTGACCTTCTCGAAGAGAAGAAGTGGGTTGCTTAAGAAGGCTAAGGAGCTATCAATCCTTTGTGATGCTGAGGTTGGATTGATTGTCTTCTCAGGCACCGGCAGGCTTTACGATTATGCTAGCACTAGGTTAGATCTCTCTCTCTCTCTCTCTCTCTCTCTCTCTCTCTCTCTCTCTATTGCGTCCTTTGAATTTTCTTTGGAGAGAAATATTGTTGTCATGTGAAATTTTTGCATACCCGAAGATGTTATTATTGCATAAAATACTGATTTTTTTTATGAATCTATATATAGCATGTGAAATTACTTAACCGAAGATGTTATTTGGCTATTTGGTTGCCTCCTGTCTTGTGGTCATGGATTGTGTAGAACATTAAGAAAGTCATATTATCCCTGATAAGAAATTACTATTAAAAACTTCCAAACGAAAAAAAAGTTACAAATAAAACGTCTGAACGCTTCTCACAGTGTATTACATACATATATATATGTGTGTGTGTGTGTATAAATATATATATATATATATATATATATATATATATATATATATATATATATATATATATATATATATATATATATATATATATAGGATTCAATTATCATCTATATAGGCAAGAGCTGATTATTTACGTATAATGATAAATTGAGATAGGAGGGAGCTAATGCATGATACAAAAGTACATTGGATTTAGTTATTTAGTAACCTTCAACGAAGAGGGGTTTTTGAGGCATGGACGGTGAGAATTTGTAAAGAAGTAGATGCATGCTTCTCCTTACTTAGACGTCTTAACATTGTGTTGCATGAGATATGTTGTCTCCTCATTGGCTTTGTTTATCCACATGAAGACAGTTCTTAAAATTAAAAAGTTCTTAGACGAAGTTACTTGATCGTACCTCCTTCAACTGGAATCACCTCCATGTTGCCCTTCATCTAAGTTTTAAATGAGACGTTTGTAGCTAGTTTGTCAATTCTCGTGAAAAATAAGTCATCTATGAATATCACATTTCTTTAGGGCCTAAACTGAGGAACAGTGTGCAGACTTGAGCTTTAGGAAAGACAGTTTTCTTGGTACGAAGGGGGATGCATGTTGGGGAAGGCAGAGTTGTAGATGTTAGAATTCTCTACCAATGAAGCTACAAGTTCTTACTCATTTGCATAATTATATATATAGGGCCGGGCGGTTCTGCGGCACCATAAAAACGACAAAAAAAAGAAGTTATTCTCCCCTAATCTCTTTCTTCTGTTTCCTATCTTTCCATTCTCTGCACATTTTTTGCTCTATCTTTTTCTCCATTTGTCCTCCTCCCAGCATACTTTCTCTTCTCTACTTTTTTCCTTTACAACTTTTTTCTCTATCCTTATAATCACATATATCTCATTGCGCTAGGGCTCAGTAGCAAACATCAAGATGAGTATATAATTGAATAATTTAAATTATAAAAAAATGAATACTTCGTTCACAATGTCTATTTTCCGCAGGTTAAGTAATGAGCCTAAAACTGGATATCATAATATTTGAATTCAAATTTTAGTTCAGGACGTATGTTAGGAAATCTAATTATTCAATAAATTAATGATTCCTGGGCTCACTAATCTGTTTGTGTTCAGCACAAGTTTGGCTGGTGCAGAATTAAAGATATGATCATCAAGATGGAGAAGAAATTTAAAAATAAAACGAAAAGCTTTGAAAACAAGATAGCATGGCCATGGAAGCTAGGATGAATGGTGAATAAAGAGAGGGGGAAATATCTGTACATAGGATGAACGATAAGAGGGAGAAGGGAGAAGAATGAGTCAGAGGAAAAAGGAGAAAATTAACGAAAACAATTAATGAGATAGGAAACATTATATAAAAATATTAATTAAAAGGATTTTAGAATTGCATGAATTTCCAATTCATAATTATTTGAACAAATAAAATTAATTGGACTAATTAGATTACATCACAACCATTACAAATGTATAGATCGTCTAATGGTCTAAGACACGTTTTTTATTTTTTTATTTTTTATTTTTTTGTGGTGTCACAAATCCGCTCCCACACACACACACATATTAAGTTATAAATTAGAGAAGTTTGATTATCATGTTTTGAGTTCAAGAAAATAAAAACAGAAGAGATAGTTTGATAGGGATGACAATGGTCATGGAGCATATATGGTAATTAGTGCTATTATATCATAACTACGTTTATATCGTCGAAAAACAAAGTGCAATAGCATAACCGTGTTCAACGTCATTTGGTTGTTGTAGCCGTGTTAATCACTTGTCAAGAGAACCTTTAGCAATTAAGTTGTAGATGAAACATGATATTATTGTAGTTCCAGAACAAATTAAGATGTAGTTGAAACATGATATGGTAGTTGCATTGGGTTATTTTTAAGTTTTACCTATATCGGATCATGCAATTATATAAGCACTAAACAAAATTTTGAGAGTTGGCCAGTACGCTATATCAATAATATGCTTAGAGAATCTCCAACACTACAAGCTATAAATTTCTATGTTAGCATAAAAATGAGTCATAATCTATTATAGCTAGTCGGTTTAGGATGAACATCTCCAACATTACTAGTTATAAATACTGGATTTTTTTTATTATTTTTCAAGATATAAAAATAATAATATTTAATTTGCCCGAGCTAGTTGATATTTTGTGAAAACTGTTGATTTATTTAAGAGGAATAAAGTCTCATGAATATTAATGTAGATTCGGTGAATATTTCATCTCCACCATTTAAATTATTTTCCACCTTAAGTGGTTAAAGGATCATCAAAAGGAATAAAAAACACAGGAACTACAAGTTAACCCAGCTCCCTTCCTTTGTCTTGGACACTCACCTAATAAGTGCTTGAAACATCCAGCCATGGTCAAAGCCAAATAAGCCACGGACACCAAATCAATGTGCCAAATGTATCAATAGTCATCAGTCAAAACATTTTGAAATGATAGAACATTTTGATTTGAGCGTGCAACAAAATGGTATTGGTTAATTTGCAAGTAGAGCCTCAATTGAGACAGAAAATGATAATGTTAGAAAGAAATGGAGAATCCAGAATTGTAAGAGATGAACCAGATGCTGGAATCAAGGGAAACATCAGAAGATCAAAGGAAGTCACTCAGCTTTCTTCCTTCTTAATTTAGTGAATGAAATGCGAATTGCAATTTGGTAGGTCTTCAACTTTTATTGGTTTTTTGCTATTTCTCTTTTCTCTAGTTATGGGTTGTTTTCATTTATTTTCCTTTCATCGGCTAGCATTTGCATTGGTATTGATATTGCAATTTGCATTGGCATTCGCATCAACATCAACATCAAAACTAGCAATAACATAGCTTTCTTCTTAGTAAACAGTAAACTCATGATCTAGTGTGCCTTTATGAGTTTGACGGGAGGTGGTGGAAAAGCTTTGCAATTTGGTTTCTTTTATACTAGGGCTATTTTTTAGTATTTTACGTTGTAGGATTTTCTACCTTATGTTAACATAAGGGCTATGATGCATACACTGGTGTAGCCACATTTACTAGAATGGATGATGCCTACCTGGTTGCAGTTTTATGTTAGTTTACCTTTTATCTACTAGGACAAGTATTGTTCTTTGCTAAGTGAGAAAATTAAGTCTTGGAATGTAGCCATTTTGTTCTGTATATAGTGTTATTCTTTTTCTTAAACAATGGAATAAGAATTATTGTGTGCAATAAGTTCTTTTCTATATAAACAAAATTTTGAGAGTCGGCCAGTAGGCTATATCAATAAGATGCTTAGAAAATTCCCAGCACTACAAGCTATAATTTTTTTAGTTAGTATGAACATTCTAACATTGCCATTTATAAATACTGGATTTATTTTTTATTTTTTCAAGATATGAAAAATAATAAATAATTCATTAGCACGAGCTAGTATTGCAGCTTCTGTAAATTATTGCAAGCCTTAAAACCATTTAAATCATTTTCCATCTGAAGTGGTTAAAGGATCATCAAAAGAATGAAAAATACAGAAACTACAAGTCCTCAATCACAACCCAGCTCTCTTCCTTTGCCTTGGATACTCACGTACGTGCTTGAAAGATTCGGCCGTGACCAAAGCCGAATAAGCCACGAATAACAAATCCACGTACCAAACGTATCATTGGTCATGTCAAAACTTTTTGAAATCATAGAACATTTTGATTTGAGCGTGCAACAAAGTGGTATCTTCGTTAATTTGCAAGTATCAATTGGACAAAGAAAAAGCTAATAATGTTGAGGATATAGAATTGGAAAAGATGAAGCAGATGGTGGATAGAGATCTTATCCGGATCTTTAAGTCTGGAGCTAGCTGAACTAGAAATCTGGCTGTTCAAGGGAGGGAGAGAGAGATCTCTGCACCTTGTTTTGTATGAGGTGGGTTAGTGGGATGGGCAAAGGGGGCCAGAGGATTTTAAGTGTGATGTAGAAACCAATGGCCGAATGGATTGAAGAGGATTGGACCATCAGAAGGCAAAATGAAGCTGTGAGAATTTGCAGATTTTGCGTCCAAGCTCCATTTTGGCCCATGATATCTTAAACACACCGCTTTTCTGTGACATATGATAGATTTTGACCATCCAAGGTCGTTTCAACCTCCAAATGCAATTTTAGTTTCCTTAAAAAAATCTGACTTTTGAGTTGTCGTCCGATTAATGTCATTTTAATTACTAGAGTCCTTTGAGTTGTTTTAGGAGTTGTAATCATTCAATTATCAATTAAACAAACAACCTTTTGGTTTTCCTCTCAAACCTGTTAATGTTTGATTGAGTTAATTTGAAGGAGAGAAGAGAAGATGAAGTTTCAGAGAAAACAGGGAGAGGAACGTGGTGGTTTCTTCCTTCTGCAATTTCACAGAGGAATGATTTCTCATTAGTTGCCACTCCACTCGCACACAACGTGCAAAGAGAGATATAGCTTTACAACAAAAAACTGAGCTGGATCAAAACATTCAAAAACAGATCTCAGCCACTCATTTAGCTAATAGCTAAGATCATCACACATGGCACTCATGACCTTTACATCTATATACCTTCTCACTTAGTATTTAATCTAAGTGCATACACATATTAACATCACAACTTATTTCTAATCAGCTATAGAATTATAATTCAACACTCC